CTCCTTCCACTGGTGGCTGCTCAGCTCCAGGGTGGTTCATCGTAACGCTGAATAAACAGTTTTCTGCAACTGAGAAGGAGACAGAACAGAAATCTAATTAAACACTTTCTATTGTTTGCATGGACGAGGATATGGCATCACATAAGCATGTCACACAGACTGTGAGGGATCTGAACAGAGAAGGCCCCCCTATGTGACGGCAGACACATCGCAGCAGCTCACACTGGGCAAAATGAGGCAGAAAAAGCTATTAACACAGGACAGGCACTGGTCATATCTGGCAATCAGCAGAGGGAAAGATGGCGGTTTGACCTTTTCCAGATGGTATAGCCTTTAATCCGTACTACAGAGTCCTGCTGGGGACATGCAGACTGGAGACGTCTGATAAATTAGGCTCAAATGCCACCGTGAATCTGCATTTGTATGTGTTCATTAACAAAAAAGGGACACGAGTGCTTTGAAGTGGGTCCACTTGGAGAGGCCCGTGCTCGTGGCGATGCTCGCCGGGCGTGGACCTGTTCATGCAAGTCTACACTTCCCACTGAGCTGGAGTCACACAGCGCCTTCACTTTGTGCTTTCTGTGAAACTGCTCTAAACGCTATAAACAATGATTGCATCATGACAACTACAGTGTCCTCATCCATGCATCCACGGTTACCCTTATTCAGGTCGGGGTCACGGTGGGACTGGAACCCATCTCAACCAGTCTGAATGTGGAGCGTCAGTAACGTGAGGGCCGTTATGAGGACAGCAGAGGTATTTGAAGCTAGTGCAGGACATGCATGTAGCAGGGAGACAGAGGCACTAACAACATGAGAACAGTGAGATGTACGAGTGACAGATGGGGTCGAGGTGGGGGAGGCGTTACAACAGGGGTCTGCTCAGAGCCCCGTATGTTTGCAATGGTGATTGACAGGCTGACAGAACGAGCCACGCAGGAGTCTGTGATGTTTGCAGACGACACCGTGATCTGCAGTGACCTTAGAGAGTGGGTGGAGGAGAGCCAGGAGAGGCTTTGGAGAAAAGATGAATGTATGAAACAGAACATGAACTACAGAGAGTGAAGGTGAGCACGTTTAAATATCGAGTCAAACACCTGAAGCAGTGGACAGAAAACAAGAGAGGTGAAGTAGTGAGTGCAGGTAGAGTAGACCACGGGCTCCACGGGC